CGTGATAGGGTTGGTGTAGCTCCTGTGACGGACAAAATTAGAGAAAGTCGTCTTAGATGGTTTGGTCACATTAAACATCGACCATATGACGATCAGATCAAGAGAGTAGATGTTTTAGATTCGAATTGTGTTAAGAAAGGCAGAGGTAGACCTAGGAAGACTTGGGATTATTGTATATAAAAATGATCTTAATTTACTAGAACTAAATGAAAATATGACACTAAATAGGATGCAATGGAGAAAAAGGATTCATGTAGCCGACCCCACGTAGTGGGATTAAGGCTTTGTTGTTGTATACCAATCTACTAACATGTCTATTTAAATCTTCTCAAATAAAATTTCTTTCTTTAAGAGGTATCATTTGTATTAATTTTTGTAGTTCATACCAAAATTTTTCTTTTGAATATATATTTAAACCTACTTGAGTAGTATAAACTCTTACAACATTAAGAATCTTAATATCAATAATAATCATTAGGGTTGTAATTCTATCTTCAAGTCTATTAATTTTTATAATATTATCTTTCAAACTCTTATTTATAAGAGTTATATACACCATTTTTAGTACGACTCATGTCAAAATATTTAAGTTTAAAATCTAAGCTATCAATCTCATTATTTTTCTCGAACTCATTTAATTTCTTGAATGCATAAGATATTTTTCTTCCAATAAACCATAATATCTACTAATTTCAGTAGTTTACCCTGAAGAGTAATGATATTTCAAGATCATATCATAATATTAGTATTATGAACTAACTTTTTTACCCACATTTATCCATAATACGAGAACATTTGCTTATTTAACACTACATCCTGATGACGATATAGTGAAATTTGTACACTTTTTATTGTATTCATGTTATACAACATTTATACATTGATTTAAAGGATTCGTCATGATTTTTTTGACAAAAATTTTACGTTGGTTGTCACGACAAAAATTTTACGTTGGTTGTCGCCTCAACAACATAAAAAAAGTGGAAAGAAAAAAGAAGAGATAGTGCCTAAATAAAATTAGGATTGTTTTGATAATTTAAATCTAGATTGCTAATATGATTAAGCATGGCACTGTCCAGGAGTAGAAGAAAACAAATCATCCTTATCAAGAATAAAAATATTGGTGTTATCTAAATAGCAATTCATGAAGCCCCTAAAGTCTTATGCATCTATGCATTCAATTAGTTCAAGCAATAAATTATAGCCCTATTAAGCATGGCATACATCTACAAAAGCAATTAGCATTAGAAATTTATCTTCAATTAGTAAGTAGATACCTAAGCATAAAAGTTAAGCTTTTCTTCTTTTATTGCGAACAATTAGATTTCTATACGTCAATGAAATCAGCACGACAAAGATAAGAGGTGCTAAAGTCTTATAAAGTGCAAGTCTAAGAACTGTAAATATCGGACTTTTAGGGACCATAACAGTTGATAAGTAATGATACTTCCACAAGATCAAAAGTGAAATCATAAAAGCAGGAAATAAGAAACGTATGCGTCCCTATGCTAATAAAGCTTCCCAATTGGAAGCTCCTATTATAAATCTAAAGGACTCGTTGGTATTTGATCCAAGTAAAGCCCTAGAACCAGCAATGCCATTAAGATATGGAATATAATTCCGATCTCCAGCTCAAAAAAGTACAAAAGAGCAATAACAGAGACAAAGGAAGAAAAAAGAGTTTAATTCACCGACCTGCTCGATTAAGCGATGAACAGGACTCCCATTCGAAGTTGAATTAGAGGTATCCTTGTACGTGTCCCGAAAAAGCCGCAACAGATTGTACGTAAACTTCGCCGGCATCTCGTATACATAAACCCTAACTACAGACAACCCCGCCCACGCATCTGTCTCTCTCCTCCAGATCGCGTCGTCGAGCACGAACTTCTCAAGTGAGGCGACAAAGGAGTATTCTGGAGGTGGGGAGTTAGCGTTGCGGTTTTGGGAGAGAGGGGTGATAGGCGCCAAGCGGGTAAAGGTGGGAGAATCACCAGCGAGGCAGCGGGAGGAGGATAAGAAGAAGAAAATGATGGATGCGAGGGCGAGGAGACAGAGAGCAGCGATGAAGATAGAGGAAGGAAAGGAGAAGAGTATCTTTTGGGGTTTAGCGAAGCAAAGCTCTTTCCTGCCATTGCTCGCCGGAGCTGCAAGCAGTAGGGGGAACATGGAAGTTCCCCAAAAGAAATAAAAGATAACTGGGCAACTTGGGGGGTGTAAACTAGCCGGACACGAGCCAGTCCAGGGCTTCGGCTCGTTTATAATTGGAGTTAAAAAATTATGTTCATGTTTAACTAGATTTATTTTCGAGCCGAACACTAATTTTTCACAAATAAAAAGTCATTTTGACAATCCTAACTACATTGTCATAAGATGTCAATGATTGGGACAAGATTTAAAAATTATTGTTAATATTAAAATATCATTTGAATCTAATTTAATATTTTTTATTCTATTTTATTAATTAGTACTTCTAATTGATTATAGATCTTTTTAGTCTTGTAGTCCATTAAAATTTTTAAAAATACAACTCATTAAAATTTTTAAAAATACAAAGAGTCGTTTTGACAACCCTAATCACGTAGGCATATGTTGTTAAAGGGTTGGAGCAAGATTTAAAATTTTTTGGTTATATTAAAACATCATTGGAATCTAATTTAATAAATTTTATTCTATTTTCTTTATTAATACTTTTAATTGATTATAAATCTTTGTACCCTTGTAGTCAATTTATTTTTTTAAAAATACTACTCATCAATATATATATATATATATAATGAGTAGTATTTCAAGCCAAAACGAGCCAAACACGAATGAATAAATCTTTGTTCATGTTCTGCTCAATAACTTAGCGAACAAGCCGAGCACAAGTTTCTTAATGAGTCGAACACGAGCTGTTCGCGAACAACGACAAGTCTAACTGGGTTTAAGCACAATAGGATTTAATTCGAATATGTAAGCTTGATGATTACATTTTAATAGATCTTATATTAAAACAATGCTTTTTTTTTTTTTTTGGTTCAAATAGCTTGATCAATCCAAGCTCAAAATTATTTTTGCACAAAAACATGTTGGATCGGTCATAATTGGGGTTTAACCGGGTGAAAATAATTTGATTTTTAAATAACCCTCGATCATAATACTGCCTAATTTTATTATTTTAATTTATATTGGATGGTTAGAAATAAGATATATAAATTAAAATAGAGAAAACATAAGTCTCATAATTTTGATTTAGAATATATTCAAAATATTCAAAGGAAAAATGTCTTAAATTATAATATTATTTATTGAATTAATAAAAATAATATTATTGTATCAACATTATGTTATTTAAATTATATTAAAATTAATTTAGTATTTATTACACCATCTTGTTTAACTTAGGGAGTAACTCAGTTGAACAATTGAATCTGAAACCTCTCATTATTCCGATTTAATGTACGTACCAGTTTTCATAATTTAATTTTCTTACATATACTTTTTAATATTATATTAT